CGCAGCGGCTGCCGCCTCCTCCTGGCGCTTCACAGCTGCCACTTGGGCTGCCGCCTCCTTCGCGGCAGTCTCCTCTTGCACACGCTTCGTCGCCTCCTGCTGAGCAGCGGCCGCTGCCGCAGCGGCTTTGGTTGCCGCAGCCTCCTCCTCGGCACGCCTCGCCGCCGCCTCCTCGGCACGCCTCGCCTCCGCCTCCTCCGCACGCTTGGCCTCCTCCTCCTGAGCACGCCTCGTTTCTGCCTCCCTGGCTGCAGCCGCTGCAGCCGCTGCGGCAGCTGCCTCCCTGGCAGCTGCCTCCTCTTGCGCGCGCCTCTCTGCGGCCTGCTGAGCAGCTGCTGCTGCCGCAGCTGCCTCTTGCTGGGCACGCTTCGCCTCTGCCGCTTGCGCAGCAGCTGCTTCTCTGGCAGCCGCCTCCTCCTGGGCACGCCTCGCGGCCTCCTCCTGAGAACGCCTCGCTTCTGCCTCTTTGGCCGCGGCCACTGCCGCAGCCGCTTCCTTTGCCGCAGCCTCCTCTCGCACACGCCTCGCTTCTGCCTCTTTGGCCGCTACCGCTGCCGCAGCTGCTTCCTTGGCAGCCTCCTCCTGGGCACGTCTCGCCTCTGCCTCTCGAGCCGCCGCTGCTTCCCTCGCAGCCGCCTCCTCCTGTGCACGCTTCGCCGCTGCTTCTTGAGCCGCCGCTGCTGCCCTCGCAGCCGCCTCCTCTTGCACACGCTTCGCCTCTGCCTCCTGCGCAGCTGCCGCCTGCTGCGCAAGCCTTTTCTCCTCCTCCTGTTGGCGCGCCGCGGCTGCCTCTAGGGCCGCTGCTGCTGCTTCTCGGGCCGCCGCAGCAGCAGCGGCTGCTTCCCTTGCAGCCGCCTCCTCCTGCGCATGCCTCGCGGCAGCCTCGTGGGCTGCCGCAACAGCCGCAGCAGCTTCCCCGACTGCTGCCTCCCGCTCCTCCCGCGCCCTGGCTGCAGCCTGCTGTGCCTCGAGCTCCCGGGCGGCCACGGCGGCGGCCGCTGTCTCCCCGGCGGCTGTCTCGGCCGCCTCCTGCTGCCGCGGAGCCGCCTGCGGCTCGAGAGCCGGCGCCTTCTGCTCCGCCTGCCGCAGCTTTGCCTCCATCTCTTTAACCAGCCGCTCCAGCTCTTCCAGCCGCGCCAGCTCAGCCGCACGCTGCTGCTCGGCCAGCGCCTGCTCGGCGGAAGCTCCGGGCCCCTGCGCCAGCTGCTGAGGGGCAGCCAAAGGCTGCTCTGGCGTGGCAGGTTGCTCGGGTGTGGTTGAAGGCGCTGGCGGCTCCTGCCGAGCCCCTTCCTCCGCTGCCACCTGGCCTTCCTTAGGCCCCTCCCCTTTCCCACTTGCTGCAGCAGTACTGCCGTCAGGCTGTGCAGTCTGGTTGGGCGGCTGTTGGGAGCCAGCCGGCGCTGCCACCTGCTCTGCCGCCGCCTCTGCTGCTGTAGCTTGGGGCGCATCCACCGCACTGGCATTGCTGGCCGCCTCGTTCGCCTCCGCTGCCGGCGCCTCCAGCTGCTGCGGCGGTTGGCCGGCTGGTGAGGCTTGCTGGGGCTCTGCCCCGTCCTCCTGCTCCTGCTCATGCTGCGTCCCCTCCTGCCCTTCCGGCTGCCCCTCCTCAGGCTGCAGGCTGTCGAGCAGCTGCTGTGAGGAGGGCAGGCCGGCCTGCTCTTCATAGGCCAGGATAACATCCCTCAACTGCGAGACAGGCAGGGAAGTGGGTGACCAGCGCTGGAGGCACGGCACGGCACAGCACAGCACAGCATACACAGCACGCACAGCATACACAGCACGCACAGCATACACAGCACGCACAGCATACACAGCGCAGCACGGCATGGGACAGGAGCGCGGAGCACGGCAGGCAAGCAGCAGGACAGCAGGGCAGAAGGAGCGGGCGCAGCTGCGGCGATGCAGCAGGGCAAAGGGCGGCCGCACCTGGAGCAGCAGCGGCGCCAGGCCTTCGCTGTAAGGCACCCACTTGGCAGGTGGGTAGGCGGGCCGCCGCGCCTGCACAGCGGGGGCAGATGCACACAGGTAAGCATGGCGAAGCTGGGAGGCGGGCCAGCGCTTTAGGTGCTTGAAGTTTCCAAACCGATACATGGCAGTGCGGATTCTCCAGACTCCACAAAACCTGGCGGCAAAGAAACGTGCATGAGCACACCGGCGGCGATGCCACACGGCAGCGCGCACCTGGCTGGCGTTGTGGTCGGCAGCGCCGGCGGTACCATCGGGGCGCGGCATGGCGGGGTGCCAGCCCAGCCCGCAGTGGCTCAGCATGCGGCGGGCGGTGCCCTCCTGCACACACGCGCGACGAGGAGACACGGCCGCACAGCACGTCAGCATGTTCAGTCCGGCGATGGACGAGGGGCGAGTGGCATTGCCCTCCCCGCAGCTGCGTGCCGCATGCCACGTGCTGCTGCTGCAATGGCTGCCGCCCAGCGCCGCCCCTCCCCTCACCATATCCGCCACCATGTGCGAGTAATGCACATGCAGGATGCGGCCGGGCAGGGCGCGGTCCCAGTGCGCCATGGCGGCGTGGTGGGCGCCCACGTGGCCTGCCAGGTCTGCAGCAGTGGGCAGCGGGGCACCGACGTTTGGTGCGCGTGGTGCGTCTGTTGTGGGGTAGGGGGCATGCCCGCTTGGTGGGCGCGAGCTCGACAGCGGAAGGCAGGAGGGCCCGGGCACAAGGCTGGCGCCTCACGGCGCCAGGAGCCGCAGCCGACACAAAGATTGCCGGCACAAAGCTGGCACCAGCGGCAGGCTCACGCGTCAGGTTGAAGGACCACGGTACCGCGGCGGGGCGGGAGGCCTGCTGGAAGGCCGACAGGGCAGTGTCTGCCGGGTGGCGCACCGCGTGCAGGATGCAGGCATCTGGGAGCAGCGCGGCGGCGTAGCCTAGCTGCCAGGGGCTGGCCAGGGACTGCAAGGGGGGAGGTAGGGTAGGGAGAGAGGGTGAGGCAAGCGGCTGGTGAGAGGCAGAGATGCAGGAGGAGGGGCAAGAGCAGCAGGAAGGAGGGGCTTGGTGTACGGGCAGGAGTTGCGCCACACGGCGGGTGCAGGGCAGGCAAGCAAGCAGCGGCGCCTCCGGCAGTGCTCCATGCCGGACGCTCGCCTTGTCCACGAGCCAGGTGGCGTTGCCGGCGGCGGAGCCGGGCGGCAGCATGCCCAGCGCACTCCGCCCATACTGCCGCCGCAGCTCCTGCAGCCGCTCGGCGCTCACAGAACCCTTGCTGGCTGCGACGCGTGGAGGTGGTGCAGGAAAGGAGGGAAACAGGTTGAGCGACAGGGCTCTATTTACACTCCTTGGGTTGCCCTGGGGCTGGACGGTCACACAGGCGGAGGGGACGGTGGGGTGAAGGCAGTGCCCGGGCCCGGCTGGCTGATGCCCCTGAGCCCTCACCTAAGTCTTCCTGCAGCTGAGAGAGCAGCCCGGGCAGCTGGGACCGCTCGCCCGCGCCCCACACCTCAGGATGGCTGCACAGCAGGCATGGGGCGGGGCCAGGGACAGGCAGGCTGTGAGGAGAGAGTCACAGCAGGCAGCGAGGGGTGGCGCTCAACTGGGGCCTCTCACTGACAGGGGTGGCAGCCTGAGCGCGCATGTGCAGGCAGCCACAGCCGCCTGGAACTGGAACCCCCTGCTCGCCTGCTCAGCACTTGCTCGAGGAGCGTGCCGCCGCTGCGGGGGAGCCCCACTAGAAGGATGGGGCGAGGCCCCGGCGGCGCCGGCCCGGCAGCCCGCGCCGCACGCAGAACCGCAGCCTGCCCGGCGGAAGCCGGCTGGGCGCAGGCCCCACCGGGGGCCACCTCTGCGCCTGCTGCCGCTGCGGCTGGCTCGTTTCCGATCCACTGCTGCAGGCGCAGCAGGCCAAGCCGTCCGGCCAGGTCGGCCACGCCTCTGAGCGCCCGTCCCGCCTGGCTACCCGCCCCGGCCTGGCCCTGCGCCGCAGCCGGGAAGGCGCTGCGCAGTTGCCGCAGCTCAGCAGCATAGTCGTCGGGCCGGTACTGGGGCCCCGGGCCGTGCAGCTGCTTGGCAGCTGCCAGCGCCGCCCAGGCCTCGCCGTACCGCCTGCAGTACATGACCGGGCAGGTGAGCGGGCAGGTGAGCACAGTAGGGCAGGCATGAGGGTGAAGGCAGGAGGCTGGGAGCACCCAGCAGCAGGCCATTGCCAGCAGACCGGATGCCCGGCCAAGCATGGCTCGGCAACAGCCACCCGGCAGACCAGCCAACCGTGGGCCCCGATTCCCAGCCCCCAGCCGCTGACCAGCGCCGCATCCAGCCGGCTGCCCGGCCCTCCACTCACTTGCGGGCGTGCAGGCCTCTGTGCAGGGCATAGTAGAGCGGGAAGGCGCGGGTGCGGTTGAAGCCGCGCAGCCAAGGGCAGGGTGCGGGGCGGGCCTGCGCCTCCTCCTGCTGCTGCTCTGCAGGCGGCGGCTGCCGGCCATCCAGCATGCCGGCGCACAGCTGCAGCTCGGCCACCTGGTCATCTGCAGGGAGGGCAGACGGTCGAGCGGAAGGCAGGCGGGTGGGGAGTGTCTCTGGAGGCTGCGCACGGGCCAGCGGCGCAGCAGCAGCAGCCGACTGCGAGGGGACGACAAATGAGCAGCGAAGCAGCCGCCACCCCACCGCCGCACGCCCTCCAGCCCGCCCACCTGTCAGGTTGCTGAGCTGGCCCAGGGCGGAAACATAGGTGGCTGGGTCGGAGAGGACCGCCGCTGCTGCGGGCAGTGGTTCCAGCAGCTCGTGCACCGCGGCCTCCTGCCCCAGCCCGTGCAGCACTCGTGCAGCCCTCAGCAGCCGCGCCGCCACCCAGCGCTGCAGGCCCTGCACGTGCGCATCTGCCGGCAGCTGGGCGCCGCCAGCGGGCAGCGGCTGGCGGCGCAAGAGCGCCACCGCCGCCTCCACCGCCGCCTGCGCCGCCTGCGGCCGCCCCAGCTGCTCCAGCAGCCGGCCCCGCTCCAGGATCAGGGCGCCGCGGAAGACGGGGGCGACCGCTATGGAGGCTGCCAGGGCCACAGCCTCCAGCGCGGCAGTCGCCGTCGAGGGCGCCAGCGCGGCGCCGCTCGCCGTGCACGCCGCCGTCAGCGCGTCGGCGGCTCCCACAAGCTTGTGGTCGGCGGCGGCCGAGCCAACCGCCTCCTGCAGCGCCGCCAGAGCGGCGGCCACGTCTGGGCCGGCCCTCGAGCTGTGTGTGCCATTGGCATCCGTGGTATTGGCTGCTGCGCTGGTGTCAACACAGACGCTGGCGGCAGCGGCGGAAGCAGGCTCGCTGCCACTCCCTCCCGCCGCTGCAGATACCTCTTGCGCGGCCGCCACCTGCACCTCAGCGCAACTCTGGTCGTGATTGGGCCGCGGCTGCGGCGATGGCGGGTGCCCAAGCAAGTTATCCCGCTCGCACCTGCGCAAGCGCCAGGACGATGGCGAGCAGCAAGCACAGCTGCCGCTTCATTGGAGGAGGGTTGTGAGCCCAAGGCCAACGCCTCTTCTCCACTTTTGCCAGTGCGCGGCGCTGAGGACCGGTTGCAGTTGTGCGATGGTTCTGCAGGTATTGGCCGATGGCGATAGGGATGCAGGAGACCCCAGCAGGGGGACGCTCCTGCTGCGTGCTGTGCCACCTGGGGGAGAGATGCCCTAGACCGGAGAGTGTTTGGGCGTCTATGAAGTGGTGTCTGGTCACTCGCGTCGTCTTTGACCAAGTCCTCCTGACTTGGGTTTCTGCCTTCGTCCTCGGTTGCGCCCCATCAGAAATTTTCTGTGCGCTTCCGCAGCAGCTAGTGGGCTCCAGAAATCCGCACACGCACGCGCAATTACCTTTGCAGCGGGAGATTGCGTGGATCATTTGGAGGGACCAGCGGCGAGGCGGCGGCGACACCCAGCGGCGGCGGCGACCGAGGAGCCACTTACTTATCAGTCGCTCGCGAGGATGGCAGACATCATCAAGGAGACAGTGACGGGGGTGGCCTTCCCTCGCAAGCAGCAGTTCTGGTGAGCGCCGCCAAGGTGGAGCCTGGAGCGGACGTGTGTGTCGGCCGCCACAGCTCGTGCCGCCGCCACGCCGCTGCTGCCCCCGCTGCGGTGACCCAGCGCTGACCCAGCCACTTCCCGTGCATTGCTGCCTGCAGGCACGGCGGCGAGCTGACCTGCCTAGGCGCCGGGGCCAGGGTGAAGAAGGTTGCCATGATGACCGCTAAGGTGCGCCGTGCCATGCATTGCCTGCTTTGGGGCTAAAGGGGGCTGACAGCCTGGCTTGAGCAGCAGCGCAGCCCATGCTGCCTGGCTGGCGCTGCTGCTCTGCTGGCTTGCCTGAATAGGCTGGGGCAGGCCTGCAGCAAGGGGCTGGGGAAGTGCTAGAAAGAAGGGGTGGGGGCTCTGTGTAGGTCGGCGTGCCGGCGGGGCAAGCCAGGTGCTGGCATCACCTGAGCCCTTGCCCGCCTCTGCCCCGTGCTGCCATGGGCCTGTGTCCGCCTGCAGGTGTATGCCGTGTCGATGTATGTGGACGCAGGTGGGCGTTGCGCTGTGCTGTAAGGCGCTGTGCTGTGCTGCGTTGTGTTGTGCTGCGCTGCGCTGTGCTGCAAGGCCCTGTGCTGTAAGGCCCTGCGCTGTTCTGACCTGTGCTGTGCAACCCTAAACCGCTCCGCCACAGACAGCGCTGGCTGCGCGACACAGGCATGGCTCGTGCGCTGCTGGTGCTGCCCTCGGCTTGACCCCTGCCGCCAGGCCCCTGCCTTGCAATAACTCATTACATGTATCGGACATGCGTCGCAGACTCGGCCGCGCGGGCAGACAGCCAAGAGAAGCGCCCGGAGTCGGAGGCGGCGGTACTACGTGCCCTTCAGAACGGGGCCTTCACAAAAGTGCTGCAGGTGAGCCTCCTGTGTATGTGTATGTGTGTGTGTGGTGTGGGTAGGCGGGACGTGTGCGCTCAGCGAACCCACGGTCGGAACACGGTCAGGACCAGCACAGCTGCAGGGGGATTGAGGCAGTGGCAGACCCCCGCCTGCCTGCGGGCGGCGGGTCCCTTCTTGCCTTGTAAGCCACCCCCGATTGCGCCTTCCCTGCTGCTGCTGCTGCCGCCAGATGCACCTGGTGCGCAGCATCACGGGCAAACAGTTTGCGGATGCGCTGGATGAGAGCCTGCGCCCCATGATGAGGTGGGCGATGCACGCTGAGGGTGCTTGGGCCTGCGCCGCCGTTGGGTGTATTGTACACTGCTGCTGCTGTTTGCCCGGCATACCCGCCCTGCCCCTGCCCCCACATGCCGGGGTCTTGCCTAGCACTGCCTGTACCGCCTGGTACTGCAGCGGTGACGAGGCAGTCATGGACGACTTCTGCGGCTTCTTCGAGGCCAAGAAGATGGACAAGGATGCCGAGATTTGCCTGCTGTGGCATGCAGGTGCGCATGCCGCGCTCGTACATTCTTGCTCAAATGGCGCCAGTCTGCCGTGGTGCGCAGCCTGCCTCCGAACTCCCGCCGCCGCCGCCGTGAGCTGCTGCATGCAGATGGGCCTCTGGACGTGTGCCTGCGCCCTGCCACCGACAAAACGCCATACGCTAGCGTGAGTGGCCCCAGCGTGAGCTTGCGGTGATGGGCAGGGCGTGCGTGCCACGGGATACCTGACCTTGCCCCCGCCTGCCTGCAGGCGCAGCCCGGCCTCTCCATCACCTCGCCGCGGCTGGGTCGCGCGATGTGGGAGCTCTACCTGTCGCCCAAGACGCCCTCCCCGGACGCCCGCAAGGCATGGCTGGCCGCGGTGCCCAAGCTGGCGGCCTGAGGGCGCCCGAGTTGGCATGGGCGCTGCCTACCAAGCGCCCATGCTCTGTCAACACACCTTACAAAGCAGCTAGCTGTGCACTGCCCCATTGTTACAACCATGCTGGCCATGACAACATGCAGCGGCAAGGCATCCTCAGCTTGCATGTGACGGAGTGCATGCCGCTTGTTGACAGCATCTCGACTTGCATACAAGGATTGTGGATGGGCCTGTGCGGCGTGCAGGATGAAATGCACCGTTGGCTGTAATTGGTGGTACGTGTTGCTGCTGACAGCATAGGCCGGGGTCCTTGCTGTGAGATCAGGGTGTCTCTCATGCGCCGCCGCTGGCAGCCCGGCCCTGCCGCCACCCGCCCGTGCTGCTGCCTGTGCCCTCCCCTTTCCTGCTGGCTGGGAGACCTGGCTGGACAGCACTGCCTGGACACCACTGGTTGCAGACAACTGGCTGGGATACATGTGTTACCAATGAGTCATAACAGATCCCAGGGCTCCCTCATGCGTGCGCCACCACCCACAGCATCTCGTAAGGCTCCGCGATGCCCTCAGGCGTGGCCAGCCCCGCCGCCACCTCGGCCGCTGCCGCCAGGTACTGCCGCCGCATGGCGTCCAGTCCCTCCTCTCCCACCGCCGCGCCCACGTCGGCAAACGGCAGGCTGGTGCACAGCGCCCAGCCGGAGGCGGCCCAGTGCTCGGGCGTCTGCCCCGCCCGCAAGTTGAGCTCCGAGGTGACGGAGATGGCGGCGGCGCTGTAGCCGGCGCCCGCCAGCAGCCGCCGTACCTGGCCCTCCTCAGAAAACAGGGAGCAGGGGTCCTGCAGGAGCAGGCCCTGCCCCGCCGCCACCTGGGCAAAGACAGTAAAGGCACAGGAGCCCACGCCCTGCAGGGCTCGGGGCAGGCAGGCGGGGTGCAGGGCGAGCGGCACATGGAGGAGGGTGCACGCGCCGGCCAGCATGCCGCCGCCGGCTGGGCCAGCGCTGGCAGCCTCTGGCTGGCCCCTGACTGGCCCCTCCGGCCGCGAGCGCTGCACACCAGCCCTGCTGCACATCCAGCCCCGCGGCTCGCCTTGGGCGCGTTGAACAGCAGGCGGCCGCCGGGCCGCAGCCAGCTCCGCCACTCGGCCAGGGCGGCGGGTATGTCGGGCAGGAAGGGGAGGGCGTTGGAGCAGAGGATGGCGTGGAAGCGGCCCGCACCAAAGGCGCACTCCTCGATGTCGGCAGCAAGGAGGCGCATGTTGGTCAGGCCCTGCGCCCGCGCCTTCACCGCCGCCTGCGCAGGGCAGGGAGTTACAGGCATGCATGCATTGGCGGTGTGACATGTTGGGGATGAACCCGGCTGGGCGTGGGGGCGGCGCAGCCGTGGGCGGGCACGCGCTGTACAGCACAGCGGCGGCGGCATTGCTGCTGCAAGCTGCCACGGGGGCACCGGCACCGCTGCCGCCGCAGCTGCTGTCGCTGCTGCTGCTACTACCCTGCGCGGCGCCTTCCGACCGCCGACAGACAGCCAGCGAGCCTGCTTTGCGCGGCTACACAGCCCGCAGGCAGAGCTCATCACCACACCCTGGCCCCAGCAGGGAGCCCTCCCCAACACACACACACACACACACACCTTATGGATCATCGCGTCAGAGAGGTCTACGCCCGTTACCCTGCCGCTGCTGCCGACCAGCCGCGCCGCCGCCAGCGCCACCAGGCCTGTGCCGGTGCCAACATCCAGAACCTCCTCACCCGGCTGCAGCGCCGCCAGCTGCACCAGCCGGGCGGCCTGGGGCGGGTGGTAGGTGTTGCCGGCGTCGTAGCCTGGTGCCCTGCACGCGCGGCGCAAGGGGTGGGCTTGGGGTGAAGCGGGGTGAAGCAGCGAATGGCAGACATCAGTGCATTCCAGGGTGGCTTGACAGCTGGCGGTTTTGATGTGCAAGCAGCCACTACACGACTACCTGGCGTCAAACTGCTGGGCGATGCGGAGCTTGAAGTCGGCGGGGCGAGGCGGAGGGCGGAGCGGCGGCAGCGGCGCCGCCGCCGCCTGCTTCTGGGGCTCCGACAGCCCCGCGGCGGCTGGCGGCGACCTGCCCGCCGCGCTCCGGCGATGCCGCGGACGGCGCTGCTGCCGCGCTGCTCCTTTGCCCGCTGTGGGGGCAGGGTTGTGCGAGCGAGCAGCCTCTACAGTGGGCCCCGAGCAGCAGCAGCAGCTGCAAGCCATCACCTTGGCCTTGCAGCCTAGCAGAGCGCTTGAGAGCCGCCATGTGCATGCCCTAAAAACATAGCGGCCGGTACCGCCACCACCGCTGGCATCACCTTCCGCCCAGTTGATCCGGCGGGATGAATCAAGGCAGCTGCTTGATTGCTGCTGGGTAATGCTGTCCCATTTATTGCAGGGCGGATGTGGTTGGAGCGGTCACTCAAGGCAAGCGGGCAGGCAGCCAATATCCTGTCCAGTGGAGCCGTGGCGGGCCTAAGGTGAAGGCGACTCCAGTCCATGGCAGTTTTACAACTTATTTATCAAGTAGACAACAAATTACAGTTACATGCATTATATTAGTTTAGAAAAAGTTAGAAAATGAGAAGACGGACTGGAGAGGCCAGGCTTCCTCCGCCTCCTGGGCCCCTGCTGCAGGCAGCAGCAGCGGTGCCACTGCCGCGCCGCCGCTCCCAACGCTGGGGCTCCTGCCCCTGCTGCTGCTGCCGCCGTCGTTGCTGCCGCTGTAGGCTTCACCGCTGCTGCTGCCAGTTGCCATGAGGTGCCCCGAATCGCTGCTGCCGCGCACGGCACTGCCAGGTATCCGGCCCCTGGGCAGGATGGAAAGCGCGCGGTCCAGGCCGGCGCCCCCCGGCTGCTGCTCGCCAGCTGGCGGCACTGCAATGCCGGAGGCGAGGGGTGGGGATGGGGTGCGCGGAACGCCAGTCCCGCCCTCTGGGAGCGCGCTCGCAGCCTGGGGCTGACTGGGTGCAGCAGCGATTGTGAACTCTGCTGAAGGCTGCCGCTCTGGCGCTGCAGGCGGCAGCAGCGGTGCCGCCGCCGCGTCCGATGCGGCCGCGCGGGCAGCCTGGGGCGCGTGCAGCCTGGCGCCTCCCCACAGCAGGAAGGCCAGGCTGCGCACGATGCAGGAGGGGCTGCTCATGGCCGCCGCCGCTCCCGCCGCCACCCAGCCCGACACGCCGCCGGCCAGGCCGGAGGCGGCGGCGTCACCTGCGGCGGGGCAGGAGCCGCTGACGGCGCGCCGCAGGAGCAGGCGGGAGTCTATCTTGACCGCCGCCACAAAGCCGAAGAACTCGGGAACGTAGGGCAGCGCCCCGCCGCTGGCAGGGCCCGCCGCTGTCGCCGCCGCCTCCACGGGTGGCTGCTTGCCATTGGCGCCCAGCGCGGCCGCGGCCCGCTTGCCGCCGGCGCCTGGGCCCGGCTGCTGCTGCATCTGCTGCTTCTGCTGCTGCTGCGTCTGCTGCTGCTGGCGCCAGAAGGCGGCGACCTGGTGGGGCGGCAGCACCTGCATCACCCTGAAGCGGTGGGGCTGGAAGAGTTTGACCATCGCTGCAAGGCCGGGAAGAAAGGAGGCGGGGGCAGGGGCAGGAGGGGTCAGGGGAGGAGTTATGCAGCCAGCCAGCAGCTGGTTACGCTATTCAAGGCCACAGGCCTTGAGCACCCTTTTCCAAGGTGCGTCAGCATGCGGCCAGCTGGGCAAGCGCGCACCCGAGAAGGCGGGCCTCATGCCGCTCCTGAGCGGGCACCCCTTGTTGGCCGCGGCCTCTGCCAGGCTGGCAAACCCAGGCAGCTCGCCGCTGCCGCCCTCCAGCGCGTCTGCGGCAGGCGGCGGTGGCAGAGGTGGGAGGCCACGAGCAGGACAGAAGGCGTCAGATTCAGTCGTTACGGCATTGCACAGTCTGCAAGCTTTTCCAAGCCTCTAGTCGACAAACCCTCCGCCGTTCCCCACCCCCGCCCCCCCCGCCCCGCCCACCTGCGTGCAGGAAGTCGAAGAGCAGGCGGCTGCCAGGGGCGCACAGGGCCGACAGGTCGGTGATCAGGCTGTCAGCCTGGTCCTGCAGGGCAGAGGCAGGGGCAGGCATCAGGGGTGGGCATCGGCCGGAGAGGAGCCTGTGACCTGCCAAGACGCATGCGGACAGCGGACGGGCACGTTGTCAGCTGCGCCGGCACAAACAGGCACGCACCTGGGACAGGTAGGCCAGCAGGCCCTCGGCCACGATGCAGCAGCGCAGGGAGGGGTCGAACCCGGCCCCCGTCAGCTCTGTGATGAGCGTCTTGAGGCCGCCGCTGAAGTCGACTGCAGCATGATTGGGAGGAGAGGGGCAGGGGAGGGCGCTCAGGTTGCACGGGCTGCAAGCTTGGCTGGCATGAGAGGTCAGGGCAGCAGGCAAGCCTGGTGGTAGGTGGCGGGCGCCCGGCGCAGCCGGCTCGAGCCCGTTCGACGCCCTCCCGGGGCGGCGGCCGCGTGCCCGCTCACCTTCCACAAACCGCGGCCGCCGCGCCGCGCGCCGCCAGCCTGGCGCCACCTCATCCAGCAGTTCCCGCTTGCGCTGGCAGGCCTGGCGGGAGTCGACCTCGTAAAACTGTGAGGAAAGGTGGCAGGGAGGGGCAGGCGATTGTGGGGCTCGGGGTGGTGCGCCATGGACAGGCAAACTTCACAAAAGAAAGCCTTCGCGAGTGGCTACATCAGGCATCAGGAGGCAACCCATGGGGCAAGACGGGAGGCGCAGGGCGGCAGGCGGCTGGCGGCAGGCAGCAGGCGGCAGCGTGCCAGCCCACCTGCACCCCTGGCTGGGACATGGCGTGGGACCAAGTGCTGAGGCCGGAGCGCAGGACCACCACCTGCCTGCAGCGAAGCAGCAGGGGAGTGCCGGCAGGGAGGCGGGTTTGTGGGTGGCATGTTGCTGGCTTGTGGCCAATGCTCGAAGGTAGGCAGGCAGGCTGGCGGTCCGCGGCAGGGGTCGCCTCCTGTATCGCACGCGCAGGCCCATATGCGACCTTGCCTGCACGCGTCCTCCTCGATGCCCTGCCGCAGCTGGCCCGCCAGCCAGGCGGCCCGAGCCGCCGTGTAGCGGCAGATGCCGGGCACCCCGAAGCAGGGAGATTCCATCAGGTTCTGCAGGCAGGCAGAGTTTCGGCGGAGCAGGGCAGCGGGGTGGGCACAGGAGGAGACGCCAGGCAAACTTCATGTTTTCATAACTGCCTGTCGGCTGGCAGCTGCGAGGACGATGCCTGGGTGGCTGCGAAGGCACACGGCTAGGGCAATGCAAGGGGTTGTTGGGCTCCCCGGGCCTTGCCTGCAGGTGCCAGCGCCAGCCGGGCGTGCGGGTGAGCGCGCGCCAGCCCGGCACCAGCTGCTCCGCCAGCGCCGCCGCCAGCTGGCCGTCCTGGCTGCCGGCCTCGCAGCCGCCGCAGCGGCTGAGGTCCCTGTCGAACCCGGCCAGCTGGCCGCTGCTCTGGTGGCCCAGAGAGATGCAGTGCGTGAGGAGGGCGGTGGTGTGCATGTCGTGGCGGGCGCTGACGGCGTAGAAGGGGCTCCATTTGGAGCTGGAGCCTGCCGCCAGCAACTCCAGCCGCTGCTGCGGGTTGGTGACGGCGCCGACCGCCGGCGCCGCGGGCTTGCCGCCGCCGCCGCCGGCGCTGCCGTCCGCGGCCTGCTGCTTGCCGTCCAGGGTGGCGAACAGCCGCAGCTGCTTGGCCTCCGCTGGCTGGGCAGCGGCCATGGTTGGGGGCTGCCTCGGGGGGTGGGTTCCGAACGGTGGGGGCCCCTGGGGGGGTTGCGCCAAGCCGAAGGGCGGCCTCAAGAGAGCTCGCAAGGTGACTATGGAGAGCCGGTAGCTCAGTGGAGAATGCGTCTGCGTAGCAGAGGCTGCGTTGGGCTGGATGCCGTGTCCTGCATGCTGAGGTGCCTCGGAGCGCGGACCTAGAACCCCACGCTGGGCTTCTCTGGCGTCTCACTCAGCGACCACATGCCCCGGCCTGCACCCAGGCAGACCCGTGACACACAACTCTGCTGCCCCTCGTGCCGACCAACCCCAGACGCCTCCCCCGGCCCCAGCCCCGCCCCACCAGCCTCTGAGCGGCCCCCAAGAGCCAACAAGGCGAGCCAGGGTGCTGCAGGGGCGCTGGAATCATGCGCCGCCCCGCCTTGTGCACGCGTCGACCCACTGCCGCCGCCGCCGCCCCCACCTGCCTGCCTGCCTGTCCGCAGATGTCCGCCACCCCGGCAGCCAAGCTTGCCCTGGGCTCGCGCCAAAGCGCCGCGTCCTGGGCAGCCTCCCAGCAGCAGCAGCAGCAGCAGCAGCAGCAGCAGCAGCACCTGGAGGAGCATGCGGCACAGGTGGTGGCGGCCGCCACCGCCGCCGCCAAGGAGAAGGAGCAGGCGGCCTCGTCGTTTGGAAAGGCGCTGAGGGCGCTTTCCTCCCGCTTCAACCCAACCAACTACAACAGTGAGGCAGCAGCACGACCGCTGCCCGCTTTACTTCGACCCTGCCTGCCTCTGCCTTGCCCCACCTCTGCCTTGCCCTACCTCGTGGCCCGGCCTCCTGTCCCTGTGCTTCCCAGGGCCTTCCTGCACCAGCCTGCCTCAGCCTCCCCCCTGCCCCCTGCCGCCCCCACCCACCCCACCCTGCAGTGCTCCTGTTCCGCACCCTGAACCGCGACCTCTGCCTGCCCAATGCCAATGATGACTACATCGCACCGCTGTTCAGGCAAGGCTGCATATGAGGCTGCACACTGATGGCTGCGTGCCTGGACCCTCATCTGCCTGGAACCTTTGCTGCCGCTGGCCTCTGCCTGGACGGCGCCGCCTCCATGCCTCCCCAACCTCGCACCGCCGCTGTGCCCCGCCGCGCCCGTGCCCGCAGGGACAAGCTCATGCCGGTGCGCAGCTGGGTGCAGCGCACCATCCCAGGCATGGCAGGGGTAACGCGGGTGAGCGCCTCCCTTCTGCCCATTCTGCCATTGTGCCTTCTGGCAGAACTTGTAGCCTGCAGCACTGCAGGATGGAACGCCTTGCCTGCAGTGCTTACCGCTGCGCCTCTGGGACGCATGCGACGGCAGTGCCGCAACCGCCACCAGGGCCTGCCCCTGAAGCACTCGTCACACCTCGCGCTGAGCCAGCCCTGGCTCCTCTCTGCCTCCTCCCTCCTCCTGCAGCGGGGTGTGGAGGATGCGGGGGTGGGCGTGCCGGGCGTGTGCAACTTTGTGGTGAGAGTGGAGGGCGGCCAGCCGCCGCGGCTGACCGGCGCTGCCGCCGGGTTGGCGCCGCCGTTACACCTGCTCTTGCGCACGCCCCAGGCGTCCGGCTGCCGCCAGCGCAGCAGCCTTCGCGCTTGCTGAAACCAGCGCTGCCGCCCTCAAGCAGCGGCCCAGCACCACCCTGCCCCCTGGTTGTGTGCAAGCAGGATGCGCGCACCAAGTGGATAGACGGCGCTCTGAGGCAGGCTCTGGACGAGGGCTTTACCCAGGTGGTGTGCCTGGCGGCAGGCTACGACACGCGAGCCTACCGCTTCGCCCGGCGGGGCGTCAAGGTGAGGCCTGGGGCCGGATGTCATCTCACAAGGGCGGCACCCTCTGCTGCTGAAGCAGCTCACCTCCCTCATCCCTTCCTTCCTGCCTCCCTGCCTGACACCTCCACACTCTCCTTCTATCTCGCCCCCCTTGCCAGTTCTTTGAGCTGGACCTGCCCGCCGCCAGCCAGCGCAAGCAGTGGCTGGTCAAGTGAGCACCGCTGCACGCCTGCACGATGCCGGCTCGTCAGCCAGGCTCCTGCTGCCCGTCCTGGGAACATCCGGGCTCAGCCGTGGCCAGCACCTAGCTTTGGCTGGCTGTCTTCCAAGCCACCATGCCCCCTGCCTGGCCCAAGCCCTGCCAGCCCGCCTTGTGCAGTCCATGACCCGCGATCGGCTGCTGCCCCCTTCCCCAACGCCCGCAGGGCCTGCCTGCCCGGCTACGACACGCTGCCTCGCCCCGTGTACGTGGGGGCAGACCTGGGGCGGGTGACTGTGGGCGACGCGCTGGCGGGGACCGGCTTTGATGCCAGCCGGCCCACGCTGTTCACCTGCGAGGGCCTGATCTACTACCTCCCAGAGGTACTGCACTGTACTGCTGGCTGTACTGCTGCTGTGATACTGCCAGCTTGCGCTTCAGGGGGAGCAGCCCCTGCGCGACGGCCCACCACCTCCACGACCCCGCCTGTTCCCCGCCGCCTCTGCCGAGCAGCCTGGCAGCACTGGACCCACTGCCTTTGTCCTGTCCCTGTCCTGTCCTGCCCCTCCCTGGCACTGTGCAGGCCGCGGTGGCGACCCTGCTGACCAGCGTGGCCGACGTCGCCGCCCCCGGCAGCCGCCTGCTCTTCGACTTCCTGCATGCAGGTGGGCTGCACAGCTGCTGCATTGCTGGCGGCGCAGGAGCCCGTGCCGCCCTGCTTCTCACCTGTGGCTGTGGCTACCGTGGGGGGCAGGGTGTGGTGGGCGTGCACTGTTGCCGAGACAAAAACACGGTGCAAACTCTGGAGCTTCCAACCCCGCCCCTCCTGCAGACGCCGTGGACGGCAGCGCCTTCTATCCCGGCTACCACGCCTGCGCCGAGAGCGTGGCGGGCAAGGGGGAGGCGTTTGTGTCCGGGCTGCAGCCGGGAGAGGATGAGCTGGCGGGGTACCTGGCGCTGCTGAGCTGGCGCCTGCACCGCCTGGTTTCGCCGCGCCAGATGGCGGCCAAGGAGCTGCCTCACGAGCAGTGGAGCGACGAGATACCTCCCATCCTTGCTTTCTACAGCTACTGCGAAATGGAGAAGCCGGCAGTCGCAGCGGCGGCGCCAGCGGGTGCCAGCGTGGCGGCGCCAGCGAGCGTCAAGCAGCAGCCCGAGCCCGCCTGTCTGCAGCGCGACGGCAGCCTGATCCAGGCAGCGCCGGACGCCGACCTGCCTGGCAGCCCCTGAGGCGCTGGCAGTAGTATTGTCCGGATGAGCGGCATGGTTTGCCCTCACTAGCCCTGCACCAGCATTGCTGGCAGCAGCACTGCTTCGATAGAAAATTGCATCAACAGAATGGAGATGCACGCTCATTTCACAAAAGATTACTGGCAGCAAGATGTATTCATGAATCAAATGCATGCATGGGTTGGCAAATGTATGGATGTAATGATGGGATGCACCCGTCAGGATGGGCAAGCTCGAGCGCGGCAGCCTCAGCGCAGCCGCAGCTGCTTGCCGCCGCTGCGGTACCGCATCACGGTCAGCTTCCCCCTCACTTCCCTCACCACCCTGTCCCGGCTTGCAGGGATGTCGCTGAATGCCAGCACCGGCTGCCCCTGCCCATCCAGAGCCAGCGCCAGGCTTTTGGCGGCGCCGGGGGTGACGTCAGGGGTGCCACCGACGTAGTGCCACTTGCCGCCGGCGTACCGCATCACACTGCCCCTGCCGCCCTCGCCGCCGCTGAAGGCCACGTGCGGGGAGCCCTGGCCTGCAGCAAGCACCACCTGGCTCACAGAGTGGCGTGAGAATCCCAGGCTGCAATCGGGGCAGGCAGGGCGGCAGGTGAGGTGGCAGTTAGGGGAAGTCGGGTCAGTGCTGCTGGCTGGGTGAACAGCGACAGTGAGAGGGAGCGCCCTGCACCGCAGACTGGCAGGCAGCACTCAGCCAAGCCAGCCGCCCACCCCCCAGCACGGCCCCGCTGCCGCGGCACCCTCACCTGCCCAGCGGCTGCCAGCCTCCGCCAGCCACGCTGTAACGCATGGTGCTGGCCCTCCTCCCGCTGCTGTGGTCGATGTAGGCCGCCACCGGCGCCCCGTCTCTGCTGTCCACACCCAGGCTCAGGCTGTCAGCCCTGCCGCCCGACAGGCCCGGGTTGCCTAGCAGCTGCCTGCAGGCCCGGCGGCGGCGGCGGGGCAGCCAGCTCAGCTGTCGAGCTCAGCTCTGCTGCTTGGCTACTGGTACTGCCGGCACAGCGTGTGCCCTTCCAGCCAGCCGCGGTGCAGACCTGCAGCTGCTCGTGCAGCAGCCCCTGCCCCTCCCACCAGCACACAACAGCACACACACACCGCACTGCCCGCAAACACACACACGCAGCACTGCCCAAGCACAAGCCAGCTCACCACTGCCCTCCCGTCTCGGGCCCGTACCACATGGCCGTGGCCCGCCCCTCCTCATCCTCGAAAGGCGATGCCTCCAGGTAGATGATGTACACCCGGCCGCCCGGCCCTGCCGCCATGTCAAAGCCCCGCAGCTCGCCACCGCCGGCAAGGGCAGGGCCCGAGAAGGCGGCCTGGCCGCCCAGAGGGGCCCACCTGGCCCTGCCGCCGCCACCACCGGCTCGGTACGCCATCACCGTGGCCCGAAACTCGCTGTCCTGCTCCTGGTATCCCACCAGCGGTGTACCGCCAGAATCCAGTGCCAGCACCAGGCGCAGCGGTCCCGCCGCCCGCATCGACGCGCCCAGCTGGCTCCAGCCGGCGACGCTGCCAGCGGGCGCCTGCCACACCGCCACATCATCCGCCCGGGCGCCGAAGTAGCGGTCGTATGCCAGCAGGAGGCCGCCGGAGGAGGCGTTGATGGCCAGGTTGGTCTCTCTGACAAAGTATTGAGGGCTGGTGGGGCCCGCCGCCACCCAGGCGCCGGGCGCTGCGGCCGTGTGCCGCAGAACCACCAGCTGGTCCCGAGCGCCTTGCTTGGGGTCGTGCAGAGCCCCGGCGACGTAGATGGCGCCACTGGACGGATCCACAGCCAAGCTCTTGCCGGGAAGCGGGCCGGCAGTGAAGCCGCGGCTGCCGACAAGCTCCCAGCCCTCCACCGCCGGCGGGGGAACAGGCACGGGCTTGGGCTGCGGCTTGGGCTTGCCCCCTTTGCCCGGCGGGGCGACGGCGGCCCTTTCGCAGCGCCCGCTGCGGTCCAGGGCAAAGCCACGCAGGCACAGGCTGCACCGCCGCCCGCTGCGGTCGCACGCTCGGCACCACTTCCTTGCCGCAGCAGACCGGCACTGCAGGTAGGTACGGGGAGGGAGGGAGAAACCGCTCGCCACGGCGGCTGCCGGATGTGCAGCAGCAGCAGGCCAATGCAAGCAGCCGGTGGCGCCGCCTGCCGCCGGCGGTGCAGCAGTGGCACACAGCCCATGCATGGAGTCTCTCCACACTACTTGCCTTGCCGCTCAGCCTAACCATGGTTGCCTTTCTGCAGCCGTCTGCGCCATCTGGGGTGTAGCCAGGGCGGCACAGCCTGCACAGCCGCCCGCTTCTGTCACACACCATGCATCGCTTTGCCACAGCAGGCTTGCACTGCATGGGTCAAGCAGGGGCAGGGGAGGTGACGGGACAGCGCAGCTGTTGCTGGCGGCGCAGAGGCCTGGCAGCGGGAAGCAGCGGCGGCGGCAGCCTGGCAGCAGGCCTCCACGACAAGCTCATTCAGCGCTTCACACCTTTCCCGTGCTCGGCTTGGGCTTGGGGGTCGGCTTGCGCGGCGGCGGCACCTTCTTGCAGCCGCCTTTCCCGTCTGGGTAGTAGCCTGGGATGCACAGGCCGCACGGCGTGCCCGTGCCATCACATATCAGGCACAGCCTGGCCGCGGCTGGCTTGCACTGCAGGCAGGCAGGGGCGGGCGCAAGCAGCGGGAAGCCGTGGGATGCTTCACCAGGCTAGCCAGTGCCGCATCACCAGCATGGCCCCACAGCAAAGAAGCCCCTTCCTGGCCTCCAATCCTGCCCCAGCAATCCCTCGCCTTGCCCTTGTCGGCTGGCTTGCCGCCACCGCTGGGCTTGCCCGGCTTCTTGCCGCCGCCGCTGGGCGTTCGGGGCTGGGCCTTGTGGCAGCGCCCGCCACGATCTGGTGCATAGCCTGGGGTGCAAACGACGCAGCGGGAGCCATACTTGTCACATACCAGGCACCGCTTGCTCACTGCCTTGCGGCACTGCAGGCAGGGCAGCGGCCAGGCAGCAAGGAGGCTGTCGGGTGGTGGCGTTGGCAAGGGGAGTGCGGGCGGTACCGACTGGTGGCGCGCCCTGAGCTGCAGCCGCACCTTTCCCGTGTTCTTTGGGTGTTCGATATTGACCTTGGCTGCATGCAAGGGCGCGCAGAGTTGTTTGTGGGGGGATGCGAATCTCGTTGCATTCGGTAGTTGCTCGCCACCCTTGCCAAACAGTCATCCACTTGCAGACGGCCTTAAATGTCGGGCTTCCACCGCCTGGGCTCACCACAGGCACCGCTCACGGCCACCAGCAGCAGCACCAGAGTCACGGGCCGCATGGGCGGGGAATGGCCGCGGCAAGCCAATGTGTCAGCGTGCGGAAAGCATGGAGAGGTTTCTGGGCGGATCGAGATGCGCTACATGCCGTTGACACATTCCTCTTCGGCTGACGTGGCGCCGCCGCCGCTGTGCTGCTGCAGCTCACAGGAAGCGGTGCAGGAGCCCACACTGCAGGGACTGCTCTCCACATCCGCATCGCATCCACCTACCATGCCAGCATGCCCAATGCTGCTGCTCATACCGCTGGCACGGCAGAGCCTAAACCGAAAGCAGCGGTACGAGTCGGCAGTGGCACGAGTCCGCAGCGCCACAACACTGCAGTTTGCAGGGCGGCATGCCCATTGACCACTGCCTCCTCCTGAGCCAGAGGGTGGCCATCAACGGCGGGCAAATGGGCCCAGCCTGCATCCGTGCCACCGCAACCGCCGTGCGCCAGCTGCAGGCGGCAAGTCGTGACTGCTGCGGCTATCAGATCTCGAAGTTTATTTTGGGCCATGCATCAGCGGGCCATGCAAGCTGCAAGAAGCGGCAGCAGCAGGATCCTCCCCACCCTCTGCCCACGGGCATGCCACCGATCCCATACGCTTGCTGGCGTGCTGGTCAGCTTGCAGAAGCTTCCTGGACCTGGTAATGGTTAGCGGCGACTGCAGTCGGCATGCCAGCTGGCTGTCTCAGCACGCGGCCACAGCATGGGTCTCCGCGGCATATCCCACACGCAGGGGCAGAAGGCGGCGCTTTTCCAGCACGTGACACCGCTTGCACACTCCGGCGTAGCTCTCGGGGAGCCTCCGCGTGCTGCTCCTCTCACGCTCTCCACAAGCAGCCCCCTCTCTCGCTGATCAAGCAGCGGTTCACGGCACCCGCACCGGCAGCAGGCGCGCGCCCACCAGGAGCAGCACCGGGCCCCACCCGCCGCCCTCCTCCGCCGCCCCTCGCCGGCCCGGTCCGCCTGCAGCAGCCGAAGCCGCGCACCATGAAGCGCGCGTGTATAGGTGAGGCTCTCGCCCTCCAACCCTGGCCGCCGGCCGGCAGGCGCGCCGCGGCCGCCCCTGCACCTCGCCGGCCTTGCGCTCCCGCCGCCGCCACTCTTGCCCCCACGCCCTCCATCCTCACACACATGCATAAACCCACACCCTCCCTCCCTCCCTCCCTCCCCACCACACCTGCAGTCCACGACTGGGTCAACCTGGTGCTGGTGCCCATCATCGCGGCAATGACGATGGCGGGGCTGGTGGGCCTCATCGACCCCGCCCTCGTCACCTACGCCTTCATCGCTTATGTGGCGGGAGACTTTGTGTGGGTCTTCCTGCAGGTGGGAGCTGGAGAGGGAGGGAGAGAGAGAGAGTGTGGGTTTCTGTGTGTGTGTGTGGATGTGAGGGCGTTTTGTGCAGATGTGTGTGTGTGTGTGTGTGTGTGTGTGTGATTTTCGCTGCGGGGGCTGCGAACAGCAGCGGCAGCCCGCGCCCTGCCCAGCGCAGAGGAAGGATCGCATCCGCGGCGGCGGGGGGCAGAAACGGGCCAGCCGCGCCTGCAGCGATTGCTCCCCGCAGCCCCCACCAACCCGCACCTACGCTGCCACCCACCTCTCTTTCCTCCCCCCGCAGCCCGAGGCGGTGCCCTCGCTGCCCACCGTCATCCTGGCGCACCACGCCGTCACCTGCGTGCTGCTGTGCGTGCCGCTCAAGCGCCCCCACCTGCACTGGTATACGTGCGTGGACGGCCTGGTGGAGCTCAACACCTTCTTCCTCATCGCCCGCCGCCAGTTCCGCTCCCGTACCACGCGCAAGGTGTTCAGGTGTGCGGCGCACGGCGGTGCGAGGGCGCTGCGTGGGCGGGCGGCAGGCTGGCGCCAACCTCTCGGGACGCGTCGGCATTACCCTGCTGCCGCGCCGCGCGGTCGACTGCCCCACCCCTCCTCCAGCCCAGGCCCTGCCCACCCCGCTGCCTCTCTCTCACCTCCGCCTCGCCTCCTGCCCTCCCTCCCTCCCGGCTGCGCCTGCCCCGCAGCTGGCTGTACTGGGCCTCCTTCCTGTCCATGCGCATGGTACTGTACCCGCTGATGGTACCGCTGTTCTGGCGGGAGATGCAGATGACAGAGGAGGCGCCCTGGTGGGAGGTGCTGGCCTGCGTGGGATCCCAGACCATCCTCTGTATGTTCAACGTCGTACTGCTGGCCCTCAGCGTGATGAACTGGCGCAAGCGGCGCGCCGCCGCGGGCGAGACCAAGGACGGCGCCAGCGCCGGCGCCGCCGCCGGCCAGCGCGCGGCGGGCAAGGCGCCCGGCGCCGCCGCAGCCGGGCTGAAGCAGCGCGTGCGGCAGCGCGGGGGCAGCCCCGACGAAGGCGAGCTGGTGCCGGCCGTCAAGGGCGCCGCCGCGGCCGCCCTTGCGCTCAAGGCCCGCGCGGTGTGAGGCGCCGGAAGCCGTGTGCAGCCTGGCAGCACGCCTCCACGGCCCTACCTGCCCGCCTGCGTGTCTGCGACCTGCCTGCCGGCGCCGCTGCCGCTGCCCCGGCACAAGCAGCGGGATGCAGCCCGCCGCGACTCGCCCCCCTGGAATGGATGCCACACTTGGAATCAAGAAATGAAGTTTGTGCACATGTAGCTGTTTTCCAAAGGCATGCTGCCCGGCACATGCTGCCTGGCCATGCCAACCAAACCAGAAACGCCGCCCCGTTTTCGACGCACCCCAGCCCCAGCTGACATTTTGCCCCGCCCCGCCCCGCCCCCATTTCATGCCCGACCAGCCCCCTTACCTGCTTCTCGCACCCTACCTCTGCCCCCCTGCCTCCCCGTGCTGCATTTTGTCGGGCCCCAGCCCCGCCCCCTCTTTTGCTCCCCTCACAAGCTTTTTGCTCCACCCGCCCTTGCTTTCCTTTTGCCCCTCCCCACCCGGGGCCGCCCCACCCGCAGCTTGCGCCCTTGCCTCACCTTGTTTTGCCCCGGGCCCATGCCCTCCCCGGTCTGTAAACGCCGAAGGGTTACAACAGAGCTTGCACAGGGCGCTGAAATCGCACCGCGGACGGGAGCGGCGGCGGTACAGGGCGGGACGGGGGCGCCCCGCCGCACTTACGGAGGAGGGGAGTCGGAAGAAGCAAAATGCGAGGGACAGGTGTGGCGCAGCGCACGCGCAGGGGCCAGTCAGTGCAGCGGGTCGCAGAGGGCGGGTAGCCAGCGGGTAGCCAGGAGAGGCAAGGGGACGGGACGGCGCGCCAGCTCGCCTCCCTGTGCCCACGACGCCCTGGGCTCGGGCCGAAGCTCCCTGGGCGGCCCCTGGGAGGCCCGCCCCCAAGAGAGGACGGAAGGTGACTGCTCGCCGCGCACGGGTGCCCCCTGGCCGCCACACGCGCCCCGCGCCGGGCAGCAGGGCTCGGCAGGGTCTCTGGAGGCGGGCGTCGCCCGCCGCTCACACGCCCGAGGGCGGCGCGCCAAACAGCAGGGCGCGGATGGAGGGCAGGTTGCCGGCGTAGGTGATGCGCAGGCGGTCGTCCAGCGTGTTGGAGCACACAATCTTGCCGTCGGCCGAGGTGACCACCACGCCGCCGCAGCTGCAGGGCGGGGAGGGAAGCAGGGCAGGCGCAGCATGTGTGTGCGTGTGGTGGGGGCACAGGCGCAGCAAGGACGTGCAAGTCTGCGTGGTGGTGGTGGTGGTGGTGGTGTGCAGGAGACGCCGGCCAGGAAAGCGAGGGTGCACACACCGCCGCGGCATGGGCAGTAGACCACGAAGCGGCAGCCCGCCCTCCCTGCCGGAGCACTGCTGCACATGCTGCAGCAGTCGCTGCTACCCACCAGCTCTGGAACTCGTCCTCGTCCGTGTGCTTGCCCGCCTTGGGCGGTGGCGGCAGCGGGTGCGCGGCGTCCAGCTCCATGGCGGGGGCGGCGCTGCCAAAGGCCTCCTTGTACTTGCCCTGCGGCGGTGGGGAGCGGGGCGGAGGAGCAGGGGCAGGTGAGCGGGCAGGGCAGAGAAGCAGGCAGGCAGGCAGGCAGGCAAGCCAGGCAGGCAAGCAGGCATGCGAGGAAGTGGGCGCCTGGCTGGCACCGGCGCACCAGGCGCAGCTGCCGACTGGACACCCAACCTCCCCCCTGCGCCCCAGCCCTGCGCCGCCGCGCCCACCTGCGCCGCCGCCATGGCCTCCTGCACCAGCTGCACGTCCACCGCGCGGCACCGCACCAGCGCCTTGGGCTCCTCCAGCTTGTGCAGGGACTGCGGGAGAAACGCGCGGCGGGGCGGGACGGGGCGGGGCGGGCAGGGAGGCGGCGGCAGGTTGGCAGGCTGGTTGGCGGCGAGAGAGGGAGGGAGGGTGCTGGGAGAGGAGCTGAAGTGGGGGATGCAGGCAAGGGGGGCAGGACGGGCAGGGCTGCCTGGCCCTGCACAGGCAGCCGCCAGGCCCAGGCAGCCTCTCTCCATCCCCTGCCCTTCTACCCTGCAAGGCCCTCAGCCATACACAACCCTAACCCTCGCCCTGAGAGCCGAATGTGGGCAGGCCCAGGCGCCTCCCAAGGGCCCCCCCGCGCGGCTGCCGCCCACCTGCACCAGCAGGTCTGTGAGCAGCTTCTTGTAGGCGGTACCGTCCTTGGAAAGCGCGGCCAGCCCGGCAAACGCCTCGTGCAGCAGCGCCTGCACCGCCCCCTCCCGCGCCGCCAGCACCTTGATCCGGCTCTCGTTCAGCTGCTTGCTGTACTCCACCTGTACCGCCGGGCACAGAAAGGGAGGCGGGGAAGGGGAGAGGGTGAGCGGATGCGTGTGTGGGGCGATGAGGGTGGGCGGGGTGGCGGGCGGCGAGGCCGGCCGAGCAGCCGAGCGCGCGTGCGTCACCCAGGCAGCGACGCGGCCTGCCCCAGCGCGCCCTCCCCTCCCTCGCTCCCCCAGCCCACCTTCTTCTTGACGTCTATCGAGCCCTCCCTCCGCTCAAACTCCTTCTTCACCCGCGCCTTCTCTGCCTCCAGCAGCTGCGGGGCAGGTGCAGGGGCGGGGAGGAAAGCGGCGCGGCGGGTCGGGGGCAGGAGGAAAGGAGGCGGGCCGCCGCTTGCTCCCCAGCCTGCCCGCGCTGGGTGACGTTCCTCGACCCGGCACTACGCCTGCCTGCCCAAGGCTGCCCTCGTGCCCTCCCAGGCCGCCCTTGCCGACCCGAGCCCGACGCCGTGCTGCCGCCACCGCCCCACACCCCCCGGTGGCTGCCGCCCAGCACCCACCTGCAGCTTGGTGATATTAAACTCCTCGTCTGCCGACACAGCAATCTCTGCCGCCTTCTCATCGGCCTCCTGCCGGATGAACCTGCGGGGAGCGGCGGCGCAGAGCGGCGGTGGGCGCAGGGCAGCGGGGAGGTGGCCGGCACTAGCCTGCTGGAAGGGCCAGCTGCCGGCTGCCTCGCCCTACTCACATCACCATCTGGTTGATGGTTTTGGAGACCTGCGGGCACGCAGGCGAGCGAGCAGTGTAATGGCAAAAGTTGGAGAGCGGGGGCAAGGGCGGCGTAGGACGCGGGCGCTGCAGACGGGCCAACCGGGGGGCCATTGCGGGCGGGGCGCCCGCCAGCCACTTGCAAACAGGCTGCGGTGAGCCTTGCAGGCTGGTGTAGGGCTAGGGCTCGCAGTTCGCCAGAGACTAGGGTCTCCCGGCGGCCCACGAGTGGAGCGCTGGGTGCACGACCCGGGCTGGATCGCGCCCAGGATGCCTTCAGGAGCCCCCAACGCGCCAGCCGGCGTGCAAAACGCTGAGGGTGGGAGGTGGGGCTCCGCCGATCGAGAGCCCTGCAACCCCTGCTCACCTCTGTGTCATTCATACTGACTACTGCTGCCTCTAGAAGCCCGCCGGGGGCGGTTCAGCCTGCCAGGCCCGCAAAACCCCACACAGAGCAAGCGCGGCGCCTGATCTGTTGACTGGCGGGAGGGCCACGGGAGCAGGGGAGCAGATGCGGGGTGGGAACAACGCGGAGAGCGCGCGGGAGGGCCGCCATGGCGGTGCGCCAGCGTGTCGGCGCCCAGGTGGCGGGCGGCGGCCGCATTGCTTGGGGCTGCCTGTTGCTGAGCGGCAGGCAGCTCTAGCCTGCCTGTTGCTGGGAAGCAGGCAGCCCCGAGGGCTCCTTCAAACACACAGGCATGGCGTTGTTTGACGCACCCCCACACACTACAGCAGCTCCCTCATTTGCTGCCGCGGGTTTGGTGCCGCGGGTTCAACACTCCAGGGCTGCCTCTGCTGAGTGTCGGTATGGTATAGGATTTACAGGGACCACCACTATGCAGTGCCAGGTGGCGAGGCGCCCTGCGCTGGCCCGCACGCCACTGGGTGGCGGCACAGGCCAGCGCTGGAGGCCTCGCACCCAGCTGGAGGAATCCTGAATGGCATGCCACTTGCGGCGGCTGCCTCCGAGAAAGAATCGAGTTCAACGGCCGAACACATGCGTTGAGGGACCGGGACAGAGCCAAGACAGATCAAAGGAGGATGGGAAGAGCATGCAGTGAAACAGTGCTTGTGGTTGAGGGTCCCGCGCTGCCCGGGAGGGGCAAGCGCGGGGTTGGGAGCAACACGTAGCAACTTGTACGAAAGCAGGCAGCGGATGCGTCAGGAGCAGGGCTGCCCTGGAATGCAGCGCCGACGGCGCAGCAGTCGGGGCAGCCGAGCCGGCCGAGCAGCGCGGCAGGACAGGGGTTTGGGAAGTGGATGAGTGCCAGCCGGGAGGGCCAGGGGGCCGGGGTTCAGAGCGGCCCCGCAGGCAGCCAAACGAAATCTAGGAATCATGGGTACTGAGTCAAGAGATTTGTCAGGAATAATGCACGCAGGAGCAAAGGAGCAGGAGAGGCGAGCTCAGCCAGAGGTTCGAGGGAGGGTTCGTGGGCGGCGCCCAAATCTCAGAGTCGGGCCGGGGGCCGCGACGGCCGCGCCGTGCGCCGGTCAGTCGCATGGGAGGTGCGGCGCGGGGCCGGCGGCGGCTGGCGCCGCCTACAGGCTGCGGCGGTACGAGCCGTAGTACGACATAGGC